TGTAAGTCATACAGTTCGTTACATCTGTGAATGGGGAATTTGGTAACGTGTCTGAGAAGAACGTTATTTCCTTCTTTGAAGTTCATTGTCACTCCAATGGATGTTGCAGCTTTCACTGAGAAGATGTCTTGCGGATATGAAGGGATGTACAGTGCGTTCCTCAGCACATTTTTAAGACGTTGACCTCTGCTGTTGATCAAACAGCAGAGGTCTCAGCTCTGATGATATACTCGGTAACCAATTCAGCGGGTTATTTCTGCAGTGAAGTCAGCTCGGTATACAAGTTTATCCCTCTGGTCTTTATCACTCCGGAGTAATGGGCCTGTAGGATTCCAAGCACCGCACGCCCGTCGTCTGTCGCGTCATACAAAATAAGTGATTAACTTTTGTCACCTGATATCTGAATTAGCTCTGCATAAGCGTTGGTGTTTCTCTTTGCATCTACTTCTTCATGATCATGTTCGGTGGTTCAGCCCTTGTGATCAAAGATATCCTAAAAATGTTGGTTCCCATAGTTTGTAATTTTTCCTGTCTCCATCAAAGAGAAGTCTTGACCATTGGCTTTGTGCCATGCTTCCCTATACCTAAACCTCCTCTGTTCTTGCTAAAGCATCAAGTATAACTTTTGACCCAAGTATTAGCTTAATTTGTGAAATATTAGATGGTTTATTTGGTCAAAATTTGTACACTTGGCATAATTGGATGCTCCATGCAGCCTGCCCTTCTCCAAAACTCTGCTCTGTAACTTGAGACTGTCAAAATGAATGAGTCATGTGACTCATTCATTGGCTAGAGCAGCTTACTACGCTAGCTAAAACAGCTATGATGCTGGTCTGATCTGAAATATATTTTTCTGATGTACAATTTATTCTAGAGGGGTGAATGTGGTATTGTCTTTACAACTCTATAACTTCTCAATCTGATGGTCCAAATTGTTCTGCTATCAGATTTCAAAACACCTAGAGCAGGGATCGGCAACCCACGGCTCCAGAGCCACATGTGGCTCTTTAATGCCCCCTTTGCGGCTCCCTTGAGCTTTTTCAAAAATGTATGAAAAGGAAAAAATACTTATTTTTTTTTGTTTGTTTTAATATGGTGTGCAGGAGGTCAAAAAAAAAACATTCATTGTGTTTTCCGATGCATAAAAATTTGTATAATAAATAAATTTTTAAAATAAATGTAAACACTTCTTTCAA